GATGTTCGTATGTTATATTGTTTTCCTTCCTATTATTTCAAAGAAACGCCTCATTGTATGTATGTAAAAGTTTATATGATAGTGCAAAATAATATGTACAGACGACATTTCACTAAACAGGGAGAGATATAAACCACATAAAAATACATTAATAAAAACGACTATCCACCATATTTTATTACGACAAAACATTAAACGAGAAATACAAACCCCAAATCATAGAGACACAATGATAACAGTACACAATATATACAACTTACAATTCCATACATACGAGGCGTTTCGGAAAAATATAGAAGGATAGAAAACAATATAACATCTTTCAAAAACACAAAATACACTTAGATCCATTTTATCACATACTAAACCAATGAATACAGAACATAGAGAAAGGTAATAAAAGGAGAGTGGCTTAGATTAAATTAGGACGAATGGCATCGCATTTTTGTTTTCCTGTCGCGCAACTCAAGATCTCTAAATTTGTCCAAATTAAGCTACGACTGACGATTTTGCTTCCATCTTCCTCTAACGCAACTGCACAAGCCGTGATCGGTGTGGACGTTGTGTGTTGTCTCTATCATAACTTTATTGGAAATTAGCGCGTGGACAGGAAAATTGTTTGAGTTTCTAGGATTTTATTTGGTATTTGTTATAATCAGTTATAATTATTGTATATTGGTGTAATTAAAATTTTATTATTACTACGCATAGAATTAACCGAAATAGGCAGAGGATTAACCGAAAAGAAAGGTAAATTAAATGTGAGGTTAAGTTATTATTAAATATTTTTGTTTTATTTTTAATACTTTTAATTTTATTTTGATACAAAATTATTTATATTTATGATTAAATTTAACATTTTTTACAAAACTGTGATTAAATAAAACTGCGATTAAAGACAATATGGCATTATTATTAGTTTTCCCTTTAATTTTCGTTTGATATCTAGGTATCAAATGTTCATTTTGAAACTTATGTTGGAAGCATTTTAACTAATTGATCTTCGAAAGTTGAATTTGCCAATTAACCATTTAAAATTCTGCAGTTAGTTGTCTGTTTAATAATATCATAATTTGTTTTAAAATATTTAATTATATCCACTTAAATAATAAACAAATTCAATTTTCGTCGATGTATTAGTTAAAAGCTTCAACAGGTTTCAATACAAAAGTTTCAAATAAATTCAAAAAGTAAAGCAAGCTGATTTAAATTCCCCGGCGCATTCTGCCAAATTTTTAAATTAGTTTGCCCTGTTGTCACAGCAGCGATTCCAATTTTTACTACGCAATCTGCTTCTCTCTTTTTATTACCTTTCTCTATGATACAGAACAACAAACAAAAAATATAATACCAAATACTCTGTGAATGCGATAAATTTTTACATTGGTGAAACATCTAGACCCTTAAATGTTAGGAATTAAAGAAATAAAGATTATTTAAGAAAGGGAGATTTTAACAAATCTAAGATTTTTCAGCATTCATGGGACACAGGGCACAGAATAAATTTTAATAACGCCAAAATTATAATGAAAGAAGTTGATAGCCTCTAAAATAAATATAAAAAAGAGGCTTTTAATTCAATATAATAAAAATAAATGTATTGCTCATGCATCTGTAAATGTTAGTAATGTATGGCAATCGCTTCTTTGATTTTGTGAAAGAACATAACATAAATAAAACATAACTGCATCAAACAACATCATACAGAAAGTTTGGGGTTTTTGGGCTTTAATCTCTATTAAGTAATTATTGTTATCAGGTAGTAATTACCCAATTTTGAAGTTTAACTTGATATCGTCATTTTAACAGAACGTCAACGGTTCTTGTAGACGTATCTGTTTTAAAAAAGTAAAGTGTTCTCGAATAGTTGAATTTAAATATTTTAAATAGTTTTTTTCTTTATTCTTTGTATTTTTTTTGCTTCCGACGACGGAAAGAGATCACTTTCCGAAACGTTAAGCATTTTTTTCTTTGTTAGGCAAATTTGTATTACTGTAAACATAACTTCTGACAAGCAGCGTCCGTTTAGGTTTAACGCAGAAGTGTTTACAAAAAATAACTATTTTATTTTGTAGAATTTTCTTGCAGTGCAGTAGCGAAATACCCATAAAGGATTTTTTTGGAGAGATGAATCCGCCACATAGATATAGACATTTTTTATAGAATATTTATTATAAATATCTATAGCTACTAGCTATAGTAGCTATAGATCAGATCAGAAGGTCCATTAAATGTGAAACGAATCGTAGCTCCATATTCGCAGGTACCCATAATTAAAAAAGGTCTGAAAGATGGTACCTGTGGCTATAGTGCTTATCATTCTTTTAGATGGTTGGGAATGTAATTTTGTAGCTGTCCCTCTTGCACGTTTTATTGGTTTTCTGGCTTCTGGCCTGTTTATAATATATATGTATATCTACCCTTACCACAAAATCAAGTAACAAATTGAAAAAAAAAACGATATTGGTTAATAAATAATAAATGATTAATGAAACTATTTAAATTATAGTCGTAACTATTCATGTGCTATGAATACTTGATTGAGATAAATATGACTGCCATTCTTAGCGGTACGTGCGGTACATATCAGTCCATTATTATTAATCAACTAACGTGTACCAGCGACTTCGTTCGCGTCGAATTAATCATTTGTAATGGTGATGATAAAGCAAAGCAAGAATTTCCATTAACATACAAACTGGATAACATTTTCTCACATTTATGTTGTGGGATGAGAAAAACAATATGGCTATATTATTATATAACTTGGTAATATTTGAGGGTAGTTTCATCTCGTTGGAATTTGACTTCCAAAAAGTCCGTTTGCCATAAAAATAAGCTTTATACGTCAAGCAGTTTAAGCAGAATCGTGGTTAAGAAATTACCCAACTTTTGGAATACCCTGAATGATATTTTAAGAAATTTCAAAATATGTAAAAACCAAATAAATTATGTTTGTCCAGGCGTTTTCCCTGAAAGACTAACCGTTTTTAAATAACAAATATTGTAATATTTGAGGGGCGTTTTCACCCTCTTGGAATTTGTTATTCGAGTAACCTCTCCTTATCGAAGAAGTTCTACACCCCACAGTCAATCCGTTTGCCAAAAATCAGCTTTAAAAGTCAAACAGTTTAAGCAGAATCGTGATTACTCAATGGTCATATTTTATGAAACACCCTGTATAAATTTATAAAAAATCTTAAAATATGTCAAAACAACAAAATAAAATATACGCTTAAGAGTTTTTCCGAAAAACTCACCGGTTTTAAATAAAAAATATTTTAATATTTGAGGGATAGTTTCACCTCCTAGAATTCTGAGTTTCTGAAAAATCCCCCTCTTATCGAACCTCTAGCACCCTAAAGTCAATCTGTTTTCCACAAATCAATTTTTTACGTCAAGCACTTTAAGCAGGATCGTGATTAATCAATGACCAGATTTTTCGAAACACCCTGCATACATTTTAAAAAAAATCTTAAAATATGTAAAAAAAACAAAATAAAATATACGTGTTTAAGCGTTTTTCGGAAACTTGGCCGTTTTTAAATAAAAAAATATTGTAATATATGAGGGTGGTTTCTCCCCCTTGGAACTGGAATTTCGAAAATCCCTTCTTATCGAACCTCTACACCCTAGAATCAACCTGTATGCCAAAATTGAGCTTCTTACGTTGAGTGGTTTGAGCAGGATCGTGATTAATCAGTATGTCAGTCACTTAAGGATTTTATATATTAGTAATATATAAATAAGGATATTAGTATAGATTATAAACATAAATGAATATTCAAGATTCAAGACAGTTAAAATCTTTACTTATCAATATGTAAATCTTGAATTTAATCATTATTGCACTTAGATTAATATAATAAATTTATCGTATTATTTACTATATTGCAATAAAATTAATTGATATAATATGAAGAAAGTATAAAGGACAAAGTACTAAATTATTATTTGTATTGAAATTGTGTCTGTAATTATATTTGAAGAACATCAACGTATCATTTTAATATTTAGATACTTGAAATTTTAAAACTTTAATTACTCACCAGTATGTAGTTTGTAATTGAAATTGCATCCTGTGGTCGAAGGACAATTTTGTTATGGAATACGGGTCATTTGCAATTTGATTTTAATATTAAAGTTAAACTATACAGGATGTCTCAGAAATAAGTACAGATATTTTAACTGGTAGTATATTTTGACCCTAGAAACACGCATATGAGCCTTTTTTGCGAAAAAAAATTGTTGAAAATTTTTAATTTTTCTTGATATTTTCACTTATAATATCACAAGAGCTTAAATTATTTTCGGAAATTTTTTTGAGGGCACGAATATTTTGAAAATTATCCCGAGTCGAAGACGAGGGATAATTTTCCTAAAAATATTCGTGCCCGGAAAAAGAAAATTTCCAGGAATAATTTAAGCTTGCGTGGTATTCGGTAAGAAAATTTCACACCCTAAATTTGAAAAAAAAAAATATTAATCCAACATGACATTTTAAAATAATTCTCATTTTGTTGTTAATAATATTAACAAATATTATTATATTTTAATTCAGTTACATCAAATGCTAAAACTCAAATGGGTAATATTTCAATATATAGACATTGTAGTTCATTCACACATTATGATTGTAGATCTTATGTTTACCTTTTCAACTGTCAAAAAATTTCCACTAAAGTTTCGTGGCGCCTCGAAAAAATTTCCGGAAATTTTTTCAGTTGCCATGGTAACTAGTCAACATTAAAGCATGTTATTGGTTGAAAAGTAGAGGTGTGAAATTTTCCGTGAAATTATAAAAAAAATTTTAGTGCCACTTGTTTATTCACCTGAGATTTCTTTATGGTGTATCCAAACCTTACACAGTTGTCACCTCCTACGTTATCCACATTCTACATATTCCTATATTTATAAATTCACAGCAATTTTAAATTTTTACACAAAAAATTAGGAATGTTAAGACTCCATCAACTACACGACTCCTTTAACTTTCATAGGAAGATAAAAGAAATAACTGGAGAAAATAAAAATAATACACTAACATCAATCAAAAACAGACAAGGAACAACAATTCTAGATATAAACGAACTGAATGATACATGGAAGAATTACGCGGAGGCACTGTTTTGGGATCAACGTACCCATAAACCTGCAAACAACTTTGGAAATATGGAAGGTCCAAAAATTCTTGAGTCTGAAGTCAGATACTCAATAGATTGTTTAAAGAACAGAAAAGTCCAGGTCATGATGATATATATGCTTGAAGTTCTAAAGCAGACCGACATTAAACAGCTCACATATCTCTTTAACGTGATATATGATTCGGACAAATCCCACAGGACTGGCCAAAGTCCACGTTTATCGCCATCCCAAAGAAAACAAATCCAAAACTGCGGAGACCATAGACTCCATAAGCTTTCTAATGAGTCACGCACTTAAAAGCGTTTCTTCGAGTCATCCATTCTGGAATATATAGAAAATGTGAAGAGATGAGTGGCGAGACACAGTTCGGCTTTATCAAGGGTCTTGGCACTCAGAGAAGCTCTCTTCTCTGTGAAACTACTTGTGCAGAAATGTTGCATGATCAGAGGCAAGATGTTTTCATCTGCTTTTATTGACTATCAGAGAGCCTTTGATAACGTAAACACGAACCGTTGATGGAGAGACTACAGGAGATAGGCGTGGATGGCAAGGACATCAGAATAATTAAAGAACTGTATTGGCAGCAGTCGGCGGAGATCCGTATTGATGGTGATCGAACAACGGAAACCTTCAGCGTATTGAAGGGAGTTCGACAGGGATGTGTACTATCACCCATTCTGTTTAACATCTACGTTGAGAAAATCTTTCAGATGGCCTTGGAGAGTGAGACGCGGGGTATTAAAGTCAATGGCATCCCAATAACTAATATCCGCTATGCAGATGACACCGCAATTCTGGCTAATAACCTTGAGGACCTCCAGATTCTGCTAAATAAACTGAACAAATGCGGTGAACAGTTTGGGCTTCATATTAACGTTGCGAAAACTAAAATGATGGTGATCAGCAGACACCAGTACAACACTCATCTTAACATCAATGGAGAGAACATCGAACGGGTCACAAATTTCACCTATCTTGGCGCCTCCCTAAATGAACTGTGGGATTGCGATGAGGAAGTTAAAAGAAGAATCGGCCGTGCAAAAACAACCTTCTTTAAACTAAAGAATTTACTCCTGCATAGAAATATGCCGCTACATACCAGGATACGGGTAATTCAATCGTATGTGTGGCATGTGATGTTGTATGGCGCTGAGACTTGGTCACTTAAGGTAAAATCAATAAACAGAATTGAGGCTTTCGAAATGTGGACACTTCGCCGATTGCTGCGCATATCCTGGACAGACAACTAATGGATACCGTAAAACAATGCAAAGTATCATATCTAGGACATATATTAAGGGGACGTCAATACTCCATAGGTTGATACTGCAGGGGAAGATCGAAGGCCGACGGGGACCGGGTCGAAAACAGCATTCTTGGCTTCGCAACATAAGAAACTGGAGTGGCATACCTGACGCCGCAACCATATTTCGACGAGCCGAAAAGGGCACCCTAGTCATCTTATAGCCATAAAACAGACGAATGATCGCCAACGTGCGGCATAGCACATGGCACCCAAAGAAGAAGATTGATTACAGATCAAAATAAAACACTAATAACTAGGGAATGCAATCCCGCAAATGCGGGATCCTTCTGATATTCCGCGGGATCAAAGTTGCGGGATTTACCGTGCGGGATCCGCGGGATCGACACTTTACTACTGGATTCTATATCGATCTCGATCAAGGTCAAACCGCTTGGTTCCGGGCCGATGCGTCGACGCTCGGAACCCGGGGGATTCCCCTTACGGCTTAGCCATTAAGTGAAACAAACATTGTTAGATGTCTTTCTGGCGTATGTGCGTAAGTGAAGAAAAGCGTTTAACTAGTACTTGTGGACAATTACGTCAAAAAACTGCCGGACGTAATTATCGAGACAAGCAAAATTTTAGGGTAAATTTAAAGTTGAATATCTCTTGAACTAAAAAAGATTTTGGAATGCGGTTTGGACCAGGTTTTAGATGCATCTATTGTGATTAAGATGCTATGTGGTTTTCGAAAATATATTAAGCGAATTCTCGTATACAGGGTGTTTTATAAGAGTTTAAAATTTTGGCCAAGAATCTTTTACCGCAAATTTACAATTTTTAAAAAATCGAAATTTTTACCAAGTACGGCTAATCTGTATTGAAATTAGAATAAACAGTTTGATCGGTTTTTTATTTTTTTTTTGTTTTAAGGATAATATGACGTTTTTTCCGAAAAATATGCATTTTTAGTCATACGTATGGTCCTAAATGGTACAAAAAGCATTCATTCAAAACATTCTGCATATGCCAAAAAATTATTGATATAGAGTATATCTAACAGCAGATAACTAACATAAGTTAAAAACTTCAACATCAGAATAATATTTTTATTTATAAAATAAGTAGATAAATTATAATAAAATTTAAGTTTATTTAATATTAAATATATTTTTTGAACACCCTGTATACATCGGTCCAGATTTCTGTACAACTAGTTTAAGATACACGCTATATCAATATATTGTGGGTCTATGCAAAATGTACAATGCCTTTTGTACTATTTAGGACCAAATGTATGACTATTGTTTACAGTCCCGCAATTTTGCGGATCCGCGGGATTGATTGCTTTAATCCCGCGGGTTGGGGGGATTGAGATTTTGGTGCGGGATTGCATTCCCTACTGATAACAATAATGCCTTCCGCATACCCTTTCAGTTAAGCAACTGTCTCGACAAGCGTGTTTTGATTGTTTCCGATTCAACCGAAAATGGAAAAATTGTTGCTAAGATGTACTAAATAAAACAATATTGCTAGCAGCGGCAGCATATCTAGGAAGTTAGTGCCTTTTAAGAGCTAAAATTTTAAATCGGTATTTATAATATACCGAGAGCGTCTCAAAAGTGGCTCGGCCCTATAAATTTTTTATTTTTTTCAGATAAAAAAACGAGATTTGGTATGACATAAATTAGGATTGATTGACGTATTCAATTGTTTTTGGTCACTTCCTCTTTCACCGGAAATGACTACAACTTTTGACTTTTAAATGGCACCTTCCGTATTTTTTTACTTAATTCGATACAATATGACATTCTGAATAGAATGACATATCATATGTCAATTTTTGATATTATCGCTTAATAAAAAATCGTATTTTAAATTTGAATCTAGAGTACCATCGTTATGTTATAAGCACACTAATTCTTAATCAAGGGGCCTTGGAAAAATAGATTTGATCGTCTAATATTTTTAGTGTCATGTAAGCATTGGCCAGTTAAAAAATGCCCAAATCATATTTTTGTACTTTATCATATCTCAATTTTTTCAAATGGAACCAGGGTGGCTCATTAGCATATTTGAAAAAAGCACATTTTTTACGAATAATTTGATACCACACACTTGGTATTGCGAGTCAAATTTTCGTTATGAACCGCATGTTATAATTTCAAATAAACCATAAATATGCGAAAATGTCAAAAGTTGACATATGATATGTCATTCTATTTAGAGTGTTATTCTTTCAGAGTGTTATTTTCTATCGAACAAAGTAAAAAAATTCCGAGGGTGTCATTTAAAAATCAAAAGTTGTAGTCATTTCCGGTGAAACAGGAAGTGACCAAAAACAATTGAATACGCCAATCAATCCTAATTTATGTCGTATACTAACATACTAAATCTTGATTTTTAAATAATAAAAAAAGAAAGTTATATGGGTGAGTCTCTTTTGCGACGCACCCGGTATATTTATATAATTGAAAAAATAACTCACATATATCTTAAGGCGCGTTTACATGAATCAAGTCAAACTGTTCAATTCACATCAATTAATTTCGCTGATTTCATTGATTTTCTAACTGTAGTTGACCTCTAACTGATTTTCTAACTAATATTAAATTATTAAAAGCCCAATAGCGTTTTGCGGCTTGGTTCTCACAGTTCTGCGGCTAACCTTTCTTTTCTTCTTTTACGTCTATTTTAGTTCTTATTACGCATTAAACTTTCTGTCGATTCTTTTGGCAGTTTGAAGTACAGTCTTACGCAGTAATCGTCACCTTAAATCAACTAGCAAAAGCATTTTGATATCACATGTGAAGGGGTTAGAATCATAAGGGTCTAAGTACATCTGCCATTGTTTTGAGATAATTAAAGTTGATTGCTTATTGTAAATTCTGCATGAACGCATTTGAAATGATTGTTGCGTAAAAGAATGCAGTTTATGTAACTATTTCATATACCGTTTGCCACAGACTGAAAAAAACGGTATTTAACTAGTTTTATGTCGCTTGGATCCATATGCTTCTAACAACTTTGATCAATTTCTGTCAGGAAAAAAAGGTATAAGTCGATTTTTCATAAAAATAACTAACATTTTATTATACAAAAAAGGTATCAAAAAATACAACACGAACTTTAGCCGAATAATTCTAATTTTCGTAATCCGACACCACACTGTCGTTGCCTTCATCCATTTCTGGATTTTCCTCAACTTCAACCATAACCGTCGTCTGATTTTGTTTTTTGGAACTTTAGTTTGCTTTTGCCTCATGGGGCATAGTTAAATAAAAGTCATGGTGAATAGATGGAATAAATGGTAGAAGTTGGGTTAGATTTTCCCATTTTATGTACGGAATCTTCAATGGAGTTTGATATAAGGGCTTGAATACTTCGTTATTTAGCAACAAAGATGGTCTTCCCTTAAGCGTCGAGCAATTCTCGTTTGATGACACATAGGTAAAAAAGGTGTTCTTACTTTACTATACGAAAAATAAAATAAGTTCTCTTTTTTGAATCGGAACCAGACTATCTCACGCCACTTTATCGGTGTCTTTTCAACGTCCATTTTTGGGTCAATCATTATACTGTTATGATGAAATGTTGAAATGAAACAAAATAAGTTTTTTCCATTTCATAAACAGTAAATTTTTTAGATGTTTTTTTTATAACTTTAGTCCAGTCCTCTGGAACAAAAACGGTTAATAAAGTTTTCTTGGCTTTCTCAATGCGGGCAAAAGGGCGATCACAGTCCATATATGAATGTCCAAATTCAACAAACTTGAATAGACTAAATACATAAATAACTTCGCAATATTTTTGTTACACGTTATAATATTTTAAAACACACAAAATATCAGAAAAACACAAGAGCCGGTTTGCACGCGTCAATTATATTGAATCTATGTGACAAAACTTTGCAAAAAATGTGGGAGTCAAATAGATCCAAGTGCGCTTAGATCTCTTTGACACTAAGAATAAATGCGATAAAATTTAGTAACTTTTTTGCCCGGTTAATAGATGGCGCCAAACGTCCCAGAATCACTTGGATCTCTTTGCC